ATAACGTTAACAGCGTTTGTGCTTAAGTTGAGAAACTGCGGAAAATGGAAATGGCCTACCATTGTGACACCAGGGTCTTACGAACTTGAAATACCCTTGCGACACCAAAATAAGCTATCAAAAATGGTTTTAATTAAGACTAATTGAACAGTATGGTTTTCGTGAAGACTTACCACAATCTGATTTAAAAATGGTAAATAGAGCTTACTAGCTTTGCAACAAACAACTAAATATCGGCGTGACCCAAATAATACGGTTATTCTTAGTAATATATCTTCTTCCCCTCCCCCACCCCCATAAACACATATCATGAGGCGCATGGCACGTCATGAATATGAACACATACAATATAACATAGCAAATGATAACGTTGTGACTTATTCATAACATAAACCAACACAAACGGAGAGTGTTTGTTTCAAGAAAAAACTTTTCCATTGAAGATATAACATATCCCTGAAGAGAAAAGATTATTGTGATGAGCTTATCGTATTCGTATTTAATTTATCGCGCCTATGTCGCTTTATAGCCTCATTTTGAACGAACCAATCAAATCAGCGCCTTTTTCTTACAACCAATAGAATTCTCTGTTATAACTGAACATTGACTATTTCCTGACAGCAGACGATGCGGAAATAAATTGAAAATAAAAAAAGATCCCAATGAAATCATGATAACTGCAAAAAGCATGATCGGAAGACCTACGTTTTATGCACCAAACTACGTTAATGTTTGGTTTGCAAGAGAAAATTGTCCGCAAATAAGATTTAATGAGGTGACATTGAAAAAAGTAGAGAAATCGACTGGACATGCTATTGCTGGATCTAAAATTAGAAGTGTTCAAAATAGTTTGCAACGAGAAAACGATGTTGTATGCAAGAAGAGTGAACGACCATTTATTCTAAATGTTAATGGACAATTAGATGATCAGTCATTTAGTGTTTCAGCTCAATCTCCTAGACAGGCAGATTCTATTAAAGTTGATCTTGATTCATACCTTGGTCCAAAAAGTCATAAGCAAGCTAGTACAAAACCGTTACATCATAAAAGAAAGTACAGGAAACAAGAAAAATGGAAACAGTCAGTGACAGAAAATTCCCACATTGATAGCACACACCCAAAAGGTAAAATTAGTCATAGGATGGTCCCCTAATGGTACCATTGGCTGCTTGGCATTGTTCTTATTATTTCCAGCAAATTTGTACAAATAAAAAGAACTTGTATTTACTATTTTATTAAATTGTTCTGTAAAATACACAATGATGAATGTCATGTCCTACATAAAATAACTCAATGATTTAAATTAGAAACATCTATGATCAGTCAGCCATGTTTTGAATGAGAGCCTAAACTGAGAGCACAATGGGGCTATATCCTGGATTAGACCACGGGGTCAAAACCAGGAGTATATATAAGGTTTATTCCATTTTCTTAAGTGTATTATACACAAGTTTTACTCCTAAAATTACATAGGGGTCTAAACCAGGAGATTGCCCACAATGTAGCCTAATTAATTTGGCGTGAACGGTTTGACCCATTTTACAGACTTTTTTTTCTTACTGTCAAACCGTTACGCCTAATTTAAACTGTCATTTTTACGCACGGAAAATCTACCGGTAACACTATCGATAGTTTGGACTGATTTTTACTGCTTAAACCTGAAAGTAACTTCAATTACCTCTAAAGATCAATAGAATATAAATTTTAGTACAAACTTCTCCTACAAAAAAATAGTAGATTGTACCTGTCTTAACGCATACATGCGATTTATTTCAAATTTGTACTGTCTACTATATCTTAGGCGGACATGTTATGACGTCATCGTAAAAAATCGATTCCGTGAAAGCTGGTAGTAGCTACCAGTGTGTCTAGCAGGTAAGTGTGGGTTACGCATGAAGATTAAATTAAACGAAATATCGGGGGAAATAAATCTATTCATAATTTTTTAATAAATATGTCCATTATCAAATACTATTGAAAAGTATCATTGTATTTAACCTAAAATGCAATGGTCGCAAATAGGCTCTGTACAAGTACTGTCGTTTAATATTTTTTAAATATTTTAATCCATATACTCAACATTTATCAATTGGTGGGTTGCCTTCTTGTTTACTGCTAATGACTGCCAAATGTCACTCTCGGATAAAATACTGACTTTATTTATACATGCATATTTATATGATAATTAAGAACGTAAAAGAAATATTGAAGGAAACTATTTGAAATACACTTCAAATTATTCAGTATTTGTACAAATAATATTTCAAGAGCTCTTTTTCACCGATTGCCGATATATAATACCAAATTAAACCTATTGATAAAGTTAAATGTCTTCTTGACGTACTTTATTAATTTACTAAAAAGGAATTTTATTGTGATCCAGCCATATGCTGTGTAACTAACTATTAAGGAAGGGTCACATATTTTAATTGAAATAAATTTTAAGTAGAGGATATTAAAAAAAAAGTCATTGAGAAGATCAGAATTTTCAAATGAACAGATTAAGAGACTTATAAATGTATAAGGTGTATGTCTTGTTGTTTCATACTGTTTTGGTGACACTTTTGTTTGTGTCCCTTGTTGTTTTCTCGTCTATGGTAAGTTTCTTCCCTTTGCCCCTAGTTTTATTTCGCCCCCTCCCCCGAATTTCCTATCCCCTTCCCCTGTGCTCGTTAACTTAGTGGTCCTATTAATCATTCATTTATTAATTTTCTTTGATTTCCTTCTCAAGTACATTTTAGTGATAAGCCTGCCCGTGCTCTCTCTTGCGCCCTCTCCCGTTTTAATTTAGGATCCTCCTGGGCTCCTTGCCAATGGTTCATGTTCCTGGGTCGTGTGGGGTTTGCGTTCATTGAACGCCGCCTTTCCTTGTTCACCTTGTTTATCATATTGTATACATGTATACCGAACCGTAACAAACAGATAATGATTATCAATACAAGGTTCGGCAAGCAAGCAGAAAAATGTAAAGAAACAGAAAAAACTTATCCACATTCATGTATCCACCCTCCAAAAAACCCCACCAAAAACGCCTGAAACTGCAAAATAGAAACATAAATACACAGGAGTGCCAAAGACGGCTCTGGTAGGTTCAAGTGCTCCCTTTCGCCGGTTTAAACAGAATTGATCACTTAAACATAATAATGTTGAAATTTTTAATCAACATCCACAGATGTGTACATAATACGGCGGTAATCATGGATCTTTCAATGTGACACATTCGAGGTGCCGTTCAACGGGAACTAGATAACATGGAATTTTTAATGGGTATCAGAGGTTTTGGTGCCTTTTGCGACAGTCGTTCCAACATTTCTCCCATCTGTCTTACATTGTTATGCTATTCAACATCTAAATAACGGTCACTAAATTTCCGCTTGCTGTGTTTTTATCATAAACCCCGTCAAATCTGTGCGACAATGGTATTTTACTGAGGACTGTCTGAAATTCCATTTTATAGTTAGAAATTTTAAGATTTTTTTTTCAGAGTTTTAAAGTTATTTTTGGTTGTTTTGAACTTCTTCCCATACACAACCGTCCTCAATTTCTTTTAAAGATAATAAACTAGAAATTGATATGGAGTGTAATATAAATTGAAATTCTTCTTTGCTTCATCATGTATAGTATAATTATAATTCATTAAGATGTACCTACAATTACATTGTATTTTCGTATGTGGGAAATCATGGCAGGGTTATAAAATAAAAAGGTAGTTCAGAAATTTCACCTAATGATCACAGATGTTAAAAAATCCAACTTAATAATATCTAATTTGACAATTTAAACGGACTTAAATGCAGTATGATCTGACATCGGACATCATAAACTATTTAATTTCTAAGTAAGGTTATCATAATTTCCTTTACACATTCTCTTTTTAATGCTGAAATATTTGTGTGTGAATAAAAGAGTTATTCCTGCAATAATTCATATAAATAACATAAACAAATTGTATAATAAAGCTTGGCAAATACAATCGATTGCCACCGATACCTGTGTTACACCATGGATTTTACCAGTGTTTACAAATTTACCATGACACCGCTTTCCAATATGGCCGCTTTCAATAATTTTCAACGATTAAAAAAATTAAAGTGGAATATTTAGACTTCTGTTCGACTTTGAAGTATGATAATTTGGAACCTTGCATAAAAAACGATTCTCTTTCAGGTAATGTAGACCGTTTCTTTGAAACTTTTCTAGTTTTCGCTCCCAACAACTTCTAATTGGGAAGCGTCCGTGCATAAAAATGCAGTTCGTGGTTGGACTTGGAAAAAGACAGCGCCCGTCCAAAATTATCTCGGTGTCTCTTTGACAAGTCTAATAAGTTGGACTACCCACAATGGTACTGTGGTATGTTAATTGATGGCCCTTTTTGGCTTCAGTATAAGTTTTTTCAGCAGAATATGACATCACTACAGTTTCAGCAGATGATCCACACTTGTCAGAACATGAACTGGTAAATATGGGGTAAAAAAATAAGTATTTTCAACACTTAAGGGCAGCTTTGGATTTTCCTATCATTGACAGAAATTTATTTGAAATGAAAATATTTCTAACAATTTCTAACCCAATTCAAAAAAGCAGCACTTCCACTTTCATTTTAATGGTGCAAACAGTATTTGGTGGCGTTCAGTGTGTAAAGAACAACATTTTCTGATTACACCGGAATGGGCAATGACGCAGTACCCGTGCCTTAAATTCATCCCTGGCAGATTAAACACCATTTCCATCGTAATTATATCACTAAATTCAAGACTTAGACCAAGTCTAGTCAGATTTTCACTATGAAAGAAAAGAATTGGATATTTTTTAAACATTAAAGTAAATTTAGTGTATAAAACAAATTTCTTCAAGATAAAGCAGTTTGATTATGAGAAAACATAATGTGCTAAACTACTATAGGGAAAGGTTTAGGGTAACAAATTCTCACGGGCCTGACCCATGGATAATTGCAGGATTTTTTTCCAGGATTTTTGGAACCAAACCTGTACCCATTGAATTGGGAATTTCAGCGATGTTTGTTAAAAATTGGGAACAAATTGAAATGCATGACTAACATTTTGTAGTGATAAATTGGGAAAATAATATACTATTTTTCAATTGGGAATAATTATGTAAACCATAATAGGCTATAAAGTAATCCAAAAAAAATCCCTGAATATGTATCAAGTTTACAAATTTTGCGATTCAGATCAAGATAGAATGTCTTCTTAACAATATATAATATCAGATGTGTTTTTATTATATGTTTTCCAGCTGATAAGCAGTACCGACCCAAAAGAGTACAAGATGTCCTTGAAGTAATCGAAAATAGGAAGAAAAGCATAAAAGCTAAGCTTTTGATAAGAAAAGAACACCTTCTAACTCAGGTATTCAAAAAAGTTATATAAAGGGTAACTTATTTTATAACTTTACAATTTTATTTCATAAAAAATATTAAAAATTTATTTTAAAAAGGGTTTTAGGATATCTTTTAAAAAATTCTAGGTAAGTTTAAACATCACACAATTTACTGTTCATTTATATTATTAAAACAAAAAGTTTGAGAAATTAATTAAAAGCAAGTCAAAATTAATCCTACAGGTGATTATCTTCTTTTCATCCAATTCTAAAGCTATTTTATATTAAAGTAATTTTTAAGTTCAAAATGCATTTCAAATTTTCTTCAATCACATGGCAAGCATTAACAAAATTTATCAATGGCATTCCTGATCTTTTTTCCTTGTATAGCAGGACTATTAAAGGACAGCTTGCCCTCATGAAAAATTAAATTCTTTAGAACCATGCATTTTTCCCTAAAATTAATCTTTCATCCAGTTTCTTATTCTGTTTTTGCAAAAAATCTATGTTTATCATTTTTTGCAAAATTTAAAGGGCTACTGTATCAGCTGACCTTCCCTTTATTGAGGAAAATGTCCTGCAATTGTTATAAAAAACATACCAATATTCAATCAATAGGAAGAAGAACAAGACATTCACACAAGAGCAGACCTGTATGCTATAACTACAATTCCTGATACAAAATACTGCATCCTTCCATCAGAGGACTGCGTCCCTCGAGCTGTATTCAGATATGAAGACCCTCCAGAAAGTATATACCCTCCAGCCCGTAAAAAGAGGAGGCGAAACTATGGAAACACAAGCTGCTATGTGACCTTTCACAATGAGGAGGACATGTTTGACAATACTAAAATGTTACCAATAGGTATTTATGTTTTGCATGTATGTAGTACTAATTCATTAAAAGTAAAGGAATTAGTAACACACTTTCTTTGAACAAAATATTCATTAAAATTATAATCTAAAAAAAAACTATAAAAAAAGATGAACTTTGTAAAAATTGTAAAGAAATAAGATATATTACAAAATCTCCTAAAATTGCTATTAGAACCAAAAAGTCAAATTATCATATATATAAACACTTATGTTTAGCTGTATGAGGATTCTTAAGTTACAGTTGTTTCTATGTATATGTTTCTATGCACGCCTCCAGATGGGCCAAATTATTTCAAGAAAATCAATATGGAGAAAAATGTACTGAAATTTTAAGGATGGTAAAAACATTAAAGATCCAAGTTATATTTTACATGTTATTTGCGGGTACCCCCATATTTCTACTATGTTACTAACACAGTAAGGTTATTGCATATGTTGACCATATTTTGGAAATTTTCTTGCAATTTGAAAGTGCTGATTGCAATATGTAAATTGCTTTATTTGTTCATCTCACAATATTTTCCTTTAAAATACATTTCCAAAATGTTCATGAAAATTAACATGAATCTGGAGGCGTGCTGTTTAAACATTATATAGTTACAAATCCATCTTTCTTTTTTACCAATTATACCTTTTTCTTGAAATTTTCTTTTAACAGGAACAAGACTTGTAAAACCACCAACGAAACTTGTTGAATTAGTTGCTCAGGCAATCAGTGGCAGCCCAGATGGTCTATTGCAAGTGCAACAAATTTACACCTTTCTCCAGTAAGTAGTCTTATTTGTCATCTTACAGTCTGAAAAAGTGTTAGTAACTGACTTACTGGGCTGCATAATTGGATTGATAATGATCTATGGAGTATGTAACCAACAGAAAATTAAATAGCTTCTCTTCATCTGTCAATTTATTTCTCAATACACAGTAAATATGAGTGTGATGTTGGAAATTGCTCTTACAAAAAATAACATGTTTTTTTCTACTTTTCAAAAACAGAGATATTTCCTATAATAATTTCTTTAATTTATTCTGACATATTAAAATGATTTAGTCATAATATAATTTACATCTCTAAGTGCTATCTGGATTTAAATTATTTCAAAGTTAAATACTATATCTTTATATAGCTAGAGTTTGTCTCAGATTTTAACATCACTCCTTCATATTTATGACTAAATCAATTAAGCTATACATGTTGATTTTGAATTTTACATCAGAACTCAGAAACTGTTCATATGGTTTTTGAATAACACATTTCTGGGGTTGTATTCTTTTCAAATTTCTCAAAATTAAGATAAGATATATGCAATTCCTATTAGTATCATTTCATGTTTTGCATCAGCAGTATATTTACATGTAAATTAATTAGATTATTTTTTAAGATTGGACATTGTTCAAATTTTCAAATTAAAATATTTTATGAAGTTTTTATGTTCTGTTGATTTTTCTTTCAGAAACAAGTATCCGTTTTTCCGATACATGGACAGGGTTGCTATCAATAGCTGGAGAGTAAGTTTTGAAGCACAATTATTAATCTCTTTCAGAGATGAATAGTAAACTTAAGAAATTTCACAAGTTACTTAATATTGTTATCATATGCAGTACTTCTTTTGATGTCTATTTAAATATTTTTTCATTTCACTTTTGCTGTGATCAATCAAGAACATAGTCCCTGTAGTCCCAAGACGCATGTGTAAGTACAAAAAAAAATGCACAACACATCATAAGTATGTTTATTTGTTACTTATATATATTTGCATTGGTCTAACAGGGTGCACATATTATGATATCATGCATTTTTCATGATATTTATCAGTCGAAGATATGGGATGCAAAATTATCAAGATTAATCACTGATTCAATATAAATGGCCTTTATAAGCCACATTTAGACACTTGCCAATAATGGTCTATACACATGTATTCAATATGCTTACTGATTTCCCAATTCAGACACTCCACCATACATATTTTTCCTTTAAAGCTTTTACTTTTCTAGAATAATAATTATATCATGTCTGTGATAAATTGTGTTCAATAATTCTACTGCTGAATCATAAATTTCAATTTTTCATTTTCTGTATGTTTTGAAGGTAACCATTAGAACTAATTCAATTTTGAATAAATTTTCTGTATGTTTTGTCAGTTTTGAAGGTAACCATTGAAACTAAATTGGTTCTTTTCGAAATTCTTTCATAGATAATTTAACTACAACATATTCACTCAATCTTCATTATCTCAAATTATCTATCCAATTTGTCTAGCTTAAAGTATTAATTATTGTCATTCTTCAAATTGATTATAGCAGAAACTGCCTTAATATTAGTGTTCAATCACTTTTTCAGAGTTCAATAAGACATGCGCTGTACCAGAAATGGTTTAGAAAGATTCGTTTTGACTCCAGTTTCATCAGCAGCAAAGGTTGTTACTGGGCCATCAATAACAAAAGCAATCCAAAGGAATGGTCATTACCTGACAATAAGCTTAATTTAGAGACAAGTAACAAATGTTTACTACATGAAATTACTTAACTAATGTTTAATGTTATGATACAAATTTAAATGTGATGAAAAATATTAAAAAAAATTTTAAGTACTGAAATTTCAACAAAATTATTAGAACAAATCTTTAATGAAAAATTAGGGTCTTCCGATCAACTTTGTTTCTAGTATATCTAGGTATTGTATACCTAATGTATACATAAGCCGTTTGGCATAATCATGAGTAACTGCTCAGTCTGTTTGATGGTTTATCTTAAGTCTGTCCATCAGAACATCATCTTTTTACAATGTTACAGCTTAATAACATTTTATTTGTGTATATTGCCTAAGGCCACTCTTAAAAAATTATCTGTTTGCTATTGCCGGCCGACCCACCGAAAATGCCCCGACTCAAAAGTTTTTTTCAGCTTAAAAAAATCAGATTTTTTTTTATTTCCGCCAAATCAGCCAGGGCATTCGACCTAAAAAATTCCCTCGAAAACAATAATAAAATCGGAGGAAAATCACACATTTAATATGTAAAGTAACGAGTGATCATTCATGAGGGCATTCTGTGCATTACTATTTAAAGTATTTACATAAATAGCGACCAACCAGGGAAGGATATTTTCCTTACGTCACGCAGTACTGCATGCGCGCAGCAATTAAGTTGAATTAACTAATAATAGAACATATCAAAACGGGATTAAAAATAATGTTTGTTCAATTAATGAATATTTGTAAAGCATTTATATGGTCACTAGTTTACCATGTGGTAATTTTAATGTGCTTTGGAGTACATGTTCGTTTGTTGATGACTGCCGACACAGATTAAATACTTAGCCCATGCAATGAAACATTTCTGGTAGCAGCGGGGATTCTGTCATAAAATTGACCGAAAAAATAAATTTTTGGAAGCTGTGGTCCTTTCATATGCATTGTTGCTTTGATAGCAGACACAAGTATTGCACAATATCTTGAAGATCGTAAAAATGTAAATAAAATATCACAATCAAAATCACAAATATACATACGTCTAATTAAACTCCATGTCAAAATGAACTTCCGATTAATAATATGTCAATAATATTGACACAATAAATATCCAACACTTTTTTTTACTTGAGCAATAATTAAACATGTGTAATCATTCCTTGACAAAAAGAAATGACAGTTTTTTTTCTGATATATAAAAATGAGGTGGAAGTCAATTGAGTGTCGGCACTTCTTTGATGATTCGGCAACAACTACAGGTGTGTAAACATCAAAGATTCACAGATTCTTCAGAAGAGCCGACCAGTCATTTGTCAGAGGTCATTTCGTGTGTAAATTTTGTATTTATTATTTAACAATGGAAACATTATATTCCTTTTATTTATGGATGCTACTTTTTGCGCGAGTGTTTTTGTGTCTTTTAGCGCTATGGAATTTCAACAATCGGCGATAATTTTCGGTAACTAACAATGAAATATTTTAACATTTTTAAAACAGGGGTGCAAATATCCGCCATTCAGAAATTATAGGAGACAAATCTTGCGTGTGTTTATATTTTTTACAGACGTGTAATAAATTGAGTAATGATCACCCGATAGAACGATATGGTGATCCACTATAATTTTTCCAGTTCGTACGGGAATATTTACGCAGGAGAAGTTTATCACATCGGTAATTTGACCATGCTTGAATTTATGTCCACATAGTCATTTTTTTTATTTCATGTTATGATTACTAGTGAACATGTTTTTTATTGTTTTTGACAGTCTTTTACATGTAAGTTTTGCCGTCGCCGATGATGATAGTGTACGTAGTCCAAATTTCCACAATCTGCTACAACGTACTAAGCGTATTAACTTACGTTCAGTAAAAATTATATATCAAAAAAAAAAAAAAAAAAAGCCTACCTACCGACCCACTCCTTATAACTCTGGGTCGGCAATAGCAAACATATATATTATTAAGGATGGCCTAACCTATTCTTTTATTGCTACCCTATTTTCTCTTTCAACAACTCAATAAATTTTAAAAATACTTTAAAGGAAGGGCCCGAAATTATACAAACATGTGGCATTAATATTTGATTTAAGTTTCTTTAAATCTTTCGACTTTCAAACACTAGTTTATATACAAGCTGATTTTAATACCAAATATAATATTAATTTTTCTTTTTGTTTTATCAGTTGAGTCACACTTGTCAGTAGATTCCTTACAATACTTGAGTGATGAACAAGAAACACAGGTATGTGTCATTTATCTCAAAAACTAAATTAGCTTGCTTAAGGAATGTCGGTGGCTATACTCAGGTGCCTGTTTATGCCTGAAATTATGCACGGAAGGGCACCTGACCTTTGACCTTATGACCCTCCACCAGTAAAGCTAGAAAGTCGCCATATGACTAATACTGTGTCGGTGTGACATAAAACCCAATGAAAGAAAAAAAGATGAATTAAGTGAAATTGCAGTTGGTCTGAATTTGACTGCAAAGTTTTTATTTCAATTCATAATATATAAAAGCCCTGTCATATCATCATTCTGTAAATTTAATACTCGGTAAACCCGTCAACCACTTGTTATTATATCAAAATAACAAACAACTAAACTTTCTGAAAAACCTCCATAATTCTGTACAACACCTCATCATACTGTTAAACTCTTAGTCAGTTTTTTAAGACCTTAAAGACCTTTTTAAGACCTATAAAGTAAATCATCCTGCAAAACCAGTTATTTTTCATCCAATATAACAGATGCAATAAATAAAGGCCTCTTCCCAATCTGAATCAAAGTTGTTTTTTTTCTTCAAATCATGCAGATTTCCTAAAAACCTTATATCAGCTCCTTTACTTCACAAATTAAAAGTTTCAGGAATAATTTTTACAAAAATAAAGAGGCTGTCATTAGGCCCCTTCCTAAAATAAATTAAGTTAGAAAAAAACACTGAAAACCTTTCTTCATTCTGTTAAACCACTTATCATTAGAACTGTAAAACAACTAGGCATTCTCTAAAACCCCTCATGTACCAGTAAAACTTCATCATTCTGTAAAACCCCTCTTGTTTCTGTAAAACCCCTCTTCAGTCTGAAAAACACTTGTTATTGTGTAAAACAACTCGTAGAATTTGTAAAAAATTATCTTTGAATTATCATACATAATATCACAAACCTTTTTCTCAAAATAAAAATATGAACAATTTTACAACTGTATCATAAATTGGTTAAGTATGGTATATTATATATATTATTCTTATAACATTAAGAGCCATTTGATAAGGCCCCAAAAAGTGATAAAGCATGCTTGTATTTTTAAGGAAGTTGCAGCTATTGCTAGGCATCTCTTGTCTGCAGAGGACTGTCCAAGTGAAATGAGTGAAAGCTTAGATTGTCTGGATCAACAATTACCAACCACAGAGCCTCAGAATACTGTCCCTTCCCCTGTGAAAGAGCCCGACCCTATCCTATCAACATGTACAACAGACTGGAATAATGATGGTAAATAATGAGATTTTGTTAATTGTTATGCATGGCAATTAAAGTGACATGGTCATTTCTTTCACTAGTCTTTCATTATTTAGTTGAAGTTAATTATAAAACTGAAAGGAATCATGGCAAAATGTTAATTAATTTACACTTTCACCTGTGTGCTCACAGTAATTAACACACTTTGATGGGCATAATTGTCACTAATTTACATACAGTCTATAAACCGTCTACAGAAACCAGCTTATAAATATAGACTTTGCACTCCTTTTTAGCTTGCGGACTCAAATTGCAATGCAAATGGTACAATTGGAAATAAAATGTGTTGGGTTGTTTTTTTTCAAGTGATTTTTCACCTAATACATGTATAACAGAGGCACATTATAAAATTTAAAGGCATCTTCTATTAGTAAAAACTTTCTTTAAAATCATGTAATTTTCTCAAAAATCTGAACCTACACCAGCTTTTTCACTTCCCATATAAGCACAATAATAATTTTTACAAAAGTCAAAAGGCTACTTAAGTGAGAAAAAACACTCAGTTTTCAATGCATGTGATCTGGCACATTTCTGACATTATATGTATATATATATATATACCTAATCCTTAGCCTACAGAATTCAACAAAAATATTTGTACAAATAAAAAAAGATGTATAACAATTCCTTGCAATTTGCAATGTTCTCTTTTTTAACATCATACCTAAGTTTGTTTTTCATTTCAAAATATATGATATTGTCAATAATCGGTGTCCTGTTCAAAACTTTTATAAATAAATACTATATTTATCATGTATTACAGATATCTGTATTTCAAGTAATGAGTCTGGACATGGCACAATGACTCCAGTAAACAGTCCATCATTTCAAACTGTGCTGTGTTTAACTCAGGAGCAAAGTGAGTGCGACATACGCGCTGATTTGATACTGGGCTCGCCTTTGAACAGCCTCCCTAATGCAGACCTCATATCAGTTAAAGACTATTCACCGCGTCATAAAACAGTTCTTTTTCCATGTCAAAAACTCACAAAGACTGATATTTCACCTATGGTAAATTGGACACCAGATTGGGAAGAATATGGATCTTATATCATTTCACCGCAAAATGTCAATACACAGAAATATGTTCAGAATTTGCCAGGGGAGACAACTACAGCAACAGACTGTGATAATAATGAAACAAAGTCTGAGGAAGATGACGCCAAAAGGCTGGAATTACAGACTATGTGCAGCTTGTTAGATTCAGATAGTGAGGAATGTTCACCTCTTTTAAACTGTAGCTGTGGTAGTGATACAGAATCATGTGAATTTGAAGTCATTGCAGAATTTCCAAAATCAGATTTTCCATCCCCTGATCTCGGGCTTGAATTATATTCCTAACTTTTGAAATTATGTCATCCGTATAGTTTTGTTTGGGCTATTTCTTTCAGATCTTATATAGAGTATACATTTTCTTAACTTAAAGACAACAGTGCTGTTTCAAAGCTAACATTTAGATATGTGCAACAAATGAATTCTTTAAAATATTTCAGGTAAATTTGAATTCACTAAAGCTCATATTCAATACTTATCATTTGCAAGTTGAAGAAATGTAAAGAAATGTAAATTGATGATAAAGAACTGAAGTTGTAAAAATCCCAATGTATATTTTTTTTCGAACTTGACAAGCTTGAAATTTAAGAACTTTAAAGCTGTTGTAGCATATTATACACAGAGTCAGATGCATGTCCTAGATCAAGGTAACTATCATTATATTGCTAATGAACCTTGTATCATAGTTCATCTTATGTCTCATCATTATGTTCAACAGTTAACTGGTGAAGTCAAGTGTCACTCTTGTATGCAATACATTATTATATCATTTCTGTTAGATCAAAAGGCAAAAAATACATTCAAGAAATGAAAGTTAAGAAGTTTTTTTACTGTTTTTTTTTCTTTATTATAAGTATTGGGCTAATTTGTTTTAATGTGGCAAAAAAGGGGAATTGGCTTTAATATAAATATGATAAGACTGTAAGAGGTATGGAAGTTAAAAAGAATCTAACAACTGAATATGTTATGAATCTGCTTGGCACTGAATTTGTAAATTATTAAAGTACACATGTATACTGTACTAAAGTGCATTTGTTTTTGGAAAAGCGCATTTGTTCTTGGATAACCTTTTTTTTTTAATGTAAATATAAAGTACAGCCATGACTTTTGGTTATACTCTGTATTTCAATTCTATATGTTTCTAAGATGGTATATATTTACAAATGTAAATATTTGCATGTTTAAATCTAATTCAAAACATCATGCTTATAGAGTAATATATATAAAACTTGTTAGTTTGCTTCTGTTGTTTAGTTATCCTCCCAACATTTCAGTTGAACCATGCATATTGACAATAAAGCACTCTATAAAATCCTGAAGTATTTGTCTAAGCTTCGGTTCAAAAACGAAATATCTAAAAATCAACAAGAGGGCCATGATAGCCCTGAGGTCGCTCACCTGTATATAGGCCCCCCAAACTCCCCCCTCCCCAACGTTGCAGGGCCAATTTAACCCAAGGGCTTTTATTTGCACAAACTTGGTAGACACCCATAAGAAGATATTTCATGCTAAACATCTAAGCTCTAGCTCATTGGGCTTTTTGAAAGATTTTTTTTTTTTAAGTTTTTACTATACACATATAGTTAAAAACAATGACACCCCTGGGGCCGGGCCAGTTTTGACCCCAGGGCTTTTATTTGAACAAACTTTGTAAACACTTACTAGAAGATGTTTCATGCTTAATATCTAAACTCTAGCTATTTCGGTTTTTTCAAAGAAGATTTTAAGTTTTTGCTATACACATATAAAGAAAATCAATGACCCCCGGGGTGGGGCCAGTTTTGACCCCAGGGCTTTTATTTGAACAAACTTTGTAGACACTTACTAGAAGATGTTTCATGCTTAATATCTAAACTCTAGCTATTTGCGTTTTTTCAAAGAAGATTTTTTAAGTTTTTGCTATACACATATAAGGAAAATCAATGACCCCCGGGGCGGTGCCAATTTTGACCCCAGGGCTTTTATTTGAACAAACTTGGTAGACACCTTTTAGAACATGTTTGATGCTCAATATCTTAGCCATAGCCCTTTGAGTTCTTTAAAAGAATATTTTTTAAGTTTTTACTATATGCATATAGGGAAAATCAGTGACTGCCCGGGGCGGGCCAATTTTGACCCCAGGGCTTTTATTTGAACAAACTTGGTAGACACTTATTAGAACATGTTTCATGCTAAATATCTTAGCTCTAACTCTTTTGGTTCTTTAAAAGAAGATTTTTTAAGTTTTTACTATATGCATATAGGGAAAATCAATGGCCCCCTGGGGAGGGGCCAATTTTAACCCCAGGGCTTTTATTTGAACAAACTTGGTAGGCACCCATTAGAACATGTTTCATGCTAAATATCTTAGCTCTAGCTCTATGGGTTCTTTAAAAGAAGATTTTTTAAGTTTTTACTATATGCATATAGGGAAAATCAATGACCCCCTGGGGAGGGGCCAATTTTAACCCCAGGGCTTTTATTTGAACAAACTTGTTAGACACTCACTAGAAGATGTTTCATGCCAAATATCTAAGCTCTAGCTCTTATTGTTTTTTAAAAGATGATATTTAAAGTTTTTTTCTTTCGGTTGCCATGGCAACCAGAGTTCTGCATGGAATTAAATTCTTTGAACAATTTTTAAAGGTGACCACCAAAGGAACATTCCTGTGAAGTTTGGATGAAATTGGCTAAGTGGTTTATTAGGAGATGTCATTTAAAGTAAATGTTTACGGACGAAAAGCGATCACAAAAGCTCACCCTGTCACTTTGTGACAGGTGAGCTAAAAAGGCTTTGGTTTTTAATGCTGCGTGTAAAATACATTTATATCTATAGTGAATTGTCCTGATGACTAATCTATACAGTTATAAGGTCTCTGACTCTGTCCAACTTCCTCTTTACTGCTTTGGGTTAGAATCCCACAAGGGACTTTGGATTCTTTCATGACAGAAAGCTATCAAGCTAGCATACAAAACATCTGTAGTTCTACTTAAGGGGGTACCTGTTCATACCTGAAATAATGCCTAGAGAGGCATCCCAAGATCTTCCTCCACCAGAAAAGCTGGAAATGGCCAAATGACCTCTTCTGTGTTGGTGTGACGTAAATCCTCCTTCCCAGTAAAAAGAATAATTAAGTACTGCACTTTTATTGGTGAAAATAAAAATATTTCATTTTTTTTGCCATTGTTGGGCATTTTATCATACAGGCACTGTTCAGGGAATATAATGACTTCACTGGAGTGGTGGAGGAAGAACTTGGTAATGGTCACTGCAGATTATTTTTCATCCTAAAATGGAATATTAGTATAACCATCTTTTTTCACATGAAAAAATTCATAGTCTCATAGAGGAAGTGACTGAATGTCTGCCACCATCACTTGATCAGAGGCACCCTTTCACTGTATACATGTTATCAGATGCATAAAAAAAAGAACATTTTTTCTGAATATGATATACATATTTATTATCCAATGATCTGGAAAATGAATATATGTATAAATATATATCATAGATATTTCTTGAGTTTCCTCATATTTCAGTCACTATAAAATAAATAAAGTGTGAATCAGTATACAGGTACACATTCATATTATATTAAAATTTATTTTTAGAGTAGATCTGTTTGTTAATGGTTTAAACAGTCTAAATTGCCTTAGTACTTTTTATTTTACAAAAAAACATCTGTTAACAGTTTGTTAACAATGATAAAATTCAGACACATATTAATGACTGATTATATAAATATAAACATGTCAATATAATTAATATATATAAACTTAAATTTCATGAACACTTCTAGCATGTAGCCAAAATTAAAATTTCAGACAATCTACTCTAGCTCGCAGTAAATTTGTTCCTAAATCTAGACTTGGTTTGCAGTAACAGGACTCTAATTTTTTTTAGACAATTGGTAGGCAGCTTGACAATGTTTTTCTTTACTTGAATGACAGTGAAAACAGTGTTAATCATGTAAACTCCCAGAAAAGCCAAAAGTATGAAAAGATTCAAACTTCTGGAAAAATACATTAATATTTTAAGAAATCTAGAAGTATTCAGACTCTTGTTTTTTCATTTTTATAAGACTGAGCTATGTTTTTTTACATAATTCCTTGCCAGATTAACATTATTTTCAAGTATTTTGATAAATTTTAGGTAAAGTCATGTGTATTATAAATTTCCCATATTAGTAATAATTACTTTTTTTTTTTCACTTGATAATTTACAACATGTATTTACAACACTTCCAAAATTTAGATGAAAATATGCATGAACCTGGAAGTATGTTGCTATAAACAAATAAATATTTAAGTCAAAACTGCAAACCAAAATTATACTTCGGAAGACCTACACAGTACACAAAATTTTTAAAAAATTTAAGCATATAACAGAGGTCATGGTTATATCACAGTACAATGAAGGGAAGGAACCCTTGTATTGTATAAAGCACTTGGTCCAATATATTATGTCATTTCTAAATCTTTTCAGCATTTCTCAAGAATCACAGCAATCCCCTGTCCACCTCCAATACAAGCTGATCCAAATGCATATTTCTTATTTTGACGGCTGAAATATAAAAATGAATAAAATTTCATTTAATCCTTAATATTTTATGCCTTATTTATACTTTGGAAAAGCCCTCCTTTGAATTTAGTACAGTCTTTACAATATTTTTACTATATTTCTAATGTGATTTCAGTGTCAAAATTCTAAAATTCAGTTGCAAACAGTATAGAGTCAGTGATTTTCCTAACTATAAAATAGACTCCAAAAAAAGGCCTCTTCCCAATTGAAATTTTCTTTAAAATCATGCAGTTTTCCCAAAAATCTGAACTTAAACAAGCTTTTTTACTTCCCAAGTTAGCAATTTTAGCGATAATTTTTCCGAAAATCAACAGGCTAAGGCCTGTTCCCAAATAAGTGAGAAAAAATCACTGAGAGCAATGGCTGACTCTATTCCTGAGACATAGGTCTTTTTTGTAATCATTGTTAAACTTAAAGGCTGACAATGATGAGAAAATGCAAAGTGTTTACTCACATATCATAAGAAAGAAAAGGAAAAAGAAATTTAGTATTATTCATAACACCACTCACTTTAATTCATGAGCAAGATGGCCCGTGATTCTTGCCCCAGAAGCACCCAAGGGGTGGCCAAGGGCTATGGCACCTCCATTCATATTTGTAATCTCTGGATTCAAACCAAGTTCCTTCTCTACAGCCAGATACTGTGGGGCAAACGCTTCATTCACCTGAGAATATTTAACAAATGATATCAAATGAGTAAATGGAAAAGTATTTTTATTTAAAATTTGTCACAAAGTACTGAAAGTAACATTAAAGTAGTAAGCTGCCCATAAGAAGAAAAAAAAAAAAATTGCAGGTAACAACAAGAAATTTATGACCAATTAAATAAGCTCATATAGCAAATATAAAAGTTTTCAGGCACTGAAAAGACCTTGAATGCCCCCTACAAGCATTATTTAAGGAATGCATAATTTTAGAAATCTTTCATCGTCTATTTAAAATTTAAGTAGAGATGTGTCCTGATGCACCAACATTCCAATATTTGTCATCTACAGACATACAATCTGACAGACTATAGCAAATCTATATTCTCCCCCCCCCCCCCCCCCCCCCCTGCACATTAATAGTGAGGGCATAAGAAACACCTTTTTCATAAACTGACTCCCTTAAATATTTTTTCCTTTCATTAAGTGTGAGAAATTCAAGAAGTTCTAACTCAACCAAAGATATCTTAGAATATTGTGTAAAGCTGGTATGAAATAACCGAAGAATTTATATAAATGAGCTGAAACAAGCTTACCTCACATATATCCATGTCTTTCAATTCTAGCCCAGCAACTTCGAGAGCGGCTCTGCCAGCAGGCGCTGGTCCGATGCCCATTATCTTGGGGTCGCAACCTGAAATAAAAGCATATGTCATAAATTCTAGCAATATTCCTGATATAGATAAAAATGTTGCGAGACCGTTTTTAAAAAATATATGTATGAATTTATAAACACAAAGGATTTAGTTGCTTTTAAAAATGAAAAAAAGAAAAGAAAAACAACAACAAAACCAAATTCCATGCTGAAATTGAAACAAACCACCTTTACATGATTTAAATGCAGCCAATTCAAGGCAGTATCAAGACAATACCCCCCCCCCCCCCCCCTCAACCTCCTCATTCAGACAATTTCCTGCTGAATTATCATATGATTTTTGACATCTTGACAACATAAACAAGCAGGGATACTTCAAGGACTGTATCATAGCAGGTACGTATATTAACGGTATCCGCAACTCTATACAGTAAATCAATAACGGTAAGTTATGCTGTCGTGGCAGATAATCCATCCAGACTGCCGATCGTTATTGATTTTTATCGACGATTACATATCATTAAGCGGTGTGATATTTGACCTTGGTTATTTAAATTACCGTCAACATGTTATTTTCTGTTCAATTTTTTAAAAGTAACATATTCTAGAAAGCTGAAAGATAGATTTTTTCAAATATATATTTTATAAATCAGTGCGTTTAGTATGAAGAAAATTACGACGAGTTAAACACAGAGTTTGTTTTTTTTTGTCTCCCGATTATGTCAAAACTTAATGATGCCCTCTTCGAACAAATATAAGATTTTTTCGTAATTTATGGTCTGAATTTAGCAAAATACCTATCAAAAGAAAGCTGAGAATTTGATCTTTTTAACCGTGTAATTATCATTTACAAAGCTAAATTATTTCCGGAATTGTAACGAGTAAAAAACGCAACTTTTACTACCAGCCAAATCGCGACTGCGCGACTGCACACGAAAGAAATTTTATATACATGTAGTAACAAGTTATTATTGTTTCGTCATTTTTTTGCCGAAATTTGTGAAAAATTATTTATAAAAAGCTTATAAACTGTAGTTTTATTTTTTTTTATTTTTCAATTTCTATTGCGTATCTTAAATAAATGCGGACAAGATATCGTGAAGAATCACATGACCAAAATCATCTTGCATATTTCGAACGCAACTTTTACCATATATTTAACTTATTAAGCCCTTTATATTTTTTTATTTGAACATTGTTTTAAAGAATGAAGTTATCTATCTATCTATTTTTAAAATTGAATAAAAGTATGATTATATAATTTTCAAGCTGCACCAGAAAAGAGCTCTTATAAAATGTTCGTTTTCTCAGGTACGTATATTTTTCTGAAAAAACGGCCTAAACATTTTTTGTTATGAAAGTATTGTGAAAAATAAGTACATTGTACCGTCATAATTGATGTTTGCTGCAGATTCAGTAATTGATTTAATCACGGTTTATTAATGTGCATCTATTTAATTGTTCAATTGTGATAGTTTTCACTCTTTTTCTATCAGTCGGTCCTGTTTGAAACTGCTTTTTAGTGGGTAAGGCTAGATTATTACTATATCCAGTTAATTGTTTTTATTTAAAACATATTCTCTGTGTTGCTTTTTATACAATTATATTGAGCAAACTGTTTCACCACTACATATGTCAGTATCTTTCAGGTTCTCTTGAATGAACGTACATTTTTTCGAGAGAATAGACATAAAGTATTGGAAATAGTAGTATCAGGTACCTGGTAGTAAAAAAAAAGAAATAAAAATGAAAACACATTTATATAAGTTTTGCCTTTTATTTTATAACTGGATTTACATAAAACTTCAATAGCATCGCACTGGCTATAAAATGACTGTTTATAGTGTTTTCATTTAGTGTCACTTTATTCCCGAAATTTATTTGACACTTCTGGGACTCTCCTGGCACAAGCTGCAAATCTTTGAACTTTTGGGCTGTATCAGCATTCAGTGAAATTGTCGTGCTGATCTACCACTTGAAACCCTTGAAGCACATTTGTTACGATCTGAAATAGATGAAATGACATTTAATATAAATATTTTGTTTTATCAACAGAATAACCATGTACTAATGTTAGTATACGTACCTGGAATAACTAACAAAAAAGAAGTTGAATATAACTTCTGAGTAAATGAAAAAAAAAATGGGGAAAATTTCATCCATTTTCAAAAGACCATAGCATCAAAAATATTCACTTGAAAATTATAAATAATACCACACCCCATTCACAATAATGTAGTAACTAACTTTAAAGCTTTCATTTGTATTTTCAAGGTCTTTAGATACCTCTGATGTTTGGGCCAAAATAGGTCGTGAATTTATTTTTGCACCGCAAAAATTTACAAATTTCCTTCAAATTTCACGCCACAAAAACAACAGATCAGATGATGAGGGAGCCTTAAAAGTACCTACATAACTTACTTTAATATATTCTAAACCGATTTGTGCAAGTTTAATCAGTTTTCTACAAGTAGGTTAAGCCTGATAACTCTGCAGATTTTATACATGTTCACCCGTTTTTAACAAATATCCGCCATTTTGTCGATCTCATTCATACAGACTGGAAATTTCCACACCCGATTTACGCCATTTGGAAGCGTAATCTAGTAAAAATACACGTACATAACAAAAACATAAGACTTACCTGTCATTATTTCTTGAGTATTTTGTGCCGATGCTCGTAAATTAACACTTAATTTGCAGATTTTTCATCAACAAAATTTGCTCCGTCCGCCATCGATTAAATTTTTTGGTAGCATGTGCGCATGCGCACGACCGACACGACAGCAATCTAGGTCTAAAACCTTGTTGCGGATACCGTTAATATACGTACCTGATCATAGCAAAAAATTGCTGTATTTTGTTTTGTAAAAATTAGAAAACCCATCATATAAGCAATAAAAATTAAAGGCGAGTAAATACAGTTACAACTTACATCACTGTTATTAATTTATATACAACAATATGCTAATTACCTGCGATTCCATAGGATACTAGTCTAGCCAATGGTGTGAGGTTATTTTTAGAAACAGCTGCTTCACTGGCCAACACGAGGGCTGCGGCCCCATCACAAACACCCTACAATTACATTTAAAAAAATCATGATTCTAAAGTGTTTTAGTTTATTTTTACTCCGGCATGATATTTCAGAACAATACCTAGTGTTTTTGTACAATGGATTTTAGTAACAATGATGGACAAAGACTTATACATACTACAAGGACGTAAATTTCTGGCATAAGTTCACACCTTGGTAGGATATTCAACCTTTGTTAAACATGCTGGATATATTTTTTTTATTTCACCGATAAAGAAAACATCAGCAAAATATTAATTAACTGGTATTGAAAAATTATTTATAAATCAGAAAATTGAATAAACAAATCAAAGTAAATGGCCACTATGTGGAAAGCTTTCTTTTACCATCTTATTCTGTTACAATACTGAAATCTGCCGAAAAAGACCACATCTATTACAAATGGAAAAAGCAATTACTGGTCTCATGTGGTCTTAGTGTAGAAGTTTTATAATATGGCCTTTATTTACAGGTGGTCTTAAGAATGGGTTAGAATGAAAAAATTTTGGTGAATCTTGTCATCTTACAGATGCATTGCCTGCAGTAACAGTCCCGTCCTTTTTAAAGATAGCTGGTAACTTGGCTAGACCTTCAATAGTTGTCTTTGGTCGAGGGTGTTCATCCATTTCAAACATCTCCTTTCCTGAAAATATGAACAATGATTATGTTTATATTGTGTTTATCACTATGGTGATTTTCAAGCTTGATTTAATGGAACTTTTCCATTTTTAGCATTGAAAAATTTAGCCCCTCCTTATCTGTTTAATGCTTTGTCAGTTGCTCACAAACAATATCACAACCATAACCATGTGTTCTTTTGTGTAAACCAGATAAACATAAATTATAACAATGTATTATTCCAGAGTAGCAATTAAATAGCCAGCCAGTCAATCTGCGTAATACTGTAATCATTGGGAAGGTCAATGGAAATAAGGAACCCAGTTACCTACTTGAGTATTACCGTAACTAATGCAGGTGCAAGTACCCTCACCTTCTATATGGGTTAAACTGGAGCACATGTGAGTAGAACAGCTCCAGTCATAAAATTTTTGTCAGAAATAATAAGTAAGTAATTCTTGTAACAAAGTAAAATTCCCAGCATATTCAGAATATTTACTAGACCAAAAGAAAAACTACTAGATTTTTGCTCTTGCAATCAGGCTAGATTCAATTTCGACTAATTCAGTCCTCTCTTTTCTTTGTTTAGCCAACCTATTGATAACAAAATTAATTGTTAAATCAGTCATCAATTTATAAACAATAATAATAAGTGAATACAATACTTTATCAGTTATATCAAATATGAAACTGTTGGTACTCAAAGACAGACAACTCTTACCTTTTTTGCCTTTAACCTCAACTGGAGTTATCTCAGCATTGAAGACACCACCAGTATGAGCTGAAATACAGGGGGAAAAAACCAATTAGTAAGTCATAACATTTTTACCCATTTTTAACAGTATCTTTAATACACATTGCTTTTTCTTCAATTAAACTATATGTATTTACTCTACTGTTCAAGTAATAATAATAATAAGCTTATTCTATTTAATTTTAAATCTTCAATATATTGTAAAATTAATTCATAAATTATTGAAATTTGTAAAATTTAGATAAAATAAAACTGTACACTTCTTTACATTACTTTAGGCCATATTTTATACAAATGTCTGGGGGAAAATGTGGTCCCTTGGAAGCATTAAAAACAAAACAACAAAATTACATTAAAATTACAGACTCAGTTTGATTGAGTCTATCCATGAGGGATAATAAACAAGAGGGCCATGATGGCCATGAGGTCGCTCACCTGTATATAGGCCCCCCCCCCCCAACGTTGCAGAGCCAATTTAACGTAAGGGCTTTTATTTGCACAAACTTGGTAGACACCCATAAGAAGATGTTTCATGCTAAACATTTAAGCTCTAGTTCATTGGGCTTTTTAAAAGATTTTTTTTAAGTTTTTACTATACACATATAGTTAAAAACAATGACACCCCTGGGGCCAGGCCAGTTTCGACGCCAGGGCTTTTATTTGAACAAACTTTGTAGACTAGAAGATGTTTCATGCTTAATATCTAAACTCTAGCCTATTTGGGTTTTTTCAAAGAAGATTTAAAGTTTTTGCTAAACACATATAAAGAAAATCAATGACCCCCGGGGCGGGGCCAATTTTTTGACCCCTGGGCTTGTATTCTGAACAAACTTGTAGACACCTATTTTAGAACATGTTTGATGCTCAATATCTTAGCCATAGCTCTTTGAGTTTCTTTAAAAGAAGATTTTTTAAGTTTTTACTATATGCATATAGGGAAAATCAATGACCCCCCGGGGCGGGCCAATTTTCACCCCACGGCTTTTATTTGAACAAACTTGGTAGACACCCATTAGAACATGTTTTCATGCTAAATATCTTAGCTCTAGCTCTTTGGGTTCTTTAAAGAAGATTTTTTAAGTTTTTACTATATGCATATAGGAAAAATCAATGACCCCCCGGGGCGGGGCCAATTTTGACCCCAGGGCTTTTATTTGAACAAACTTGGTAGACACACACTAGAAGATGTTTCATGCCAAATATCTAAGCTCTAGCTCTTTGAGTTCTTTAAAAGAAGATTTTTAAGTTTTTACTATATCAGTCTTTCCGAAAGACCGTCGGCCCTGACCTGTAAAAAATCAGAAGGTCCGATAAAAATATATGTATTGACGGCCCGACGGTCCGGTAAAAAATTAAGGTTTTATAAAAACCTTACATTCAACATTTTGCAAAGGCCGATCATTTACCTAAATTCAAAACATATCAAAATGTTGTCATTACACAATATAAGCTCGTGCCAATGCTTGTCAAACTGTTATGCATTCCCAAATGCAAACTTTTATGTAACTACGTTAAGATAATAATATCCGAACAACTAGTACAATTAAAAGTCAATAAGCGGCCGCGTAAATTACATAAGCGGCCCAGATGTGGAAAGGTCACCCCCCTATTAGTTTGTTTACACAGATGAAAAGTGTCAACTGGTGTATTAAATTGGAACAATTTACGTCTTTTAATCCACAAGACTTAAAGTAATGCTTAATTACACGTGTGCCTCAACTGGTGTTTAGCTATGAAAGATCGTCCAAGATGTTGACAAAAATTTAATCTATACTGTGAAGGTACCAAAATCAATTAAACAATTAATCTGTCAACTTCACTAAAGTACCGCTATATTTATAATTCTGTTTACATATGCCAGACTTTGCTGAAAATTTACCTCTCTCATTTTGCTAGTATATAGTCTGTATAGAATTTAAGTTTAAATAGCAAAATCCATTGAATACATGTATAACAATATTTATGTTTACATTTTGATTGTGGTGAAAAAAGATATCTTCACTTTGTTGATAATATAATTTTCTTTTTGTACACAAATTTTTTGACTGCTGACAGGTCTTATCAAGTGACTCAAAATTCTATACCAATCAGGTTTTTTTCGGTCCAGTAAAATCATGTTTGGTCCAGTAAAAATTTTCAGTTTACAGGACCTACTGTCCAGTAAAACTCAGAAGTCTTTCGCATAGACTGCTATATGCATATAGGGAAAATCAATGACCCCCGGGGCGGGGCCAATTTTCACCCCAGGGCTTTTATTTGAACAAACTTGGTAGACACCCATTAGAACATGTTTCATGCTAAATATCTTAGCTCTAGCTCTTTGGGTTCTTTAAAAGAAAGATTTTTTTAAGTTTTTTTTACTATATGCATATAGGGGAAAATCAATGACCCCCCGGGGCCGGGGCCAATTTTGACCCCCAGGGCTTTTATTTTTGAACAAACTTGGTAGACACTCATTAGAAGATGTTTCATGCCAAATATCTAAAGCTCTAGCTCTTTGAGTTCTTTAAAAGAAGATTTTTTTAAGTTTTTACTATATGCATATAGGGAAAATCAATGACCCCCCGGGGCGGGGCCAATTTTCACCCCACTGCTTTATATTTGAACAAACTTGGTAGACACCCATTAGAACATGTTTCATGCTAAATTATCTTAGCTCTAGCTCTTTGGGTTCTTAAAAGAAGATTTTTTAAGTTTTAACTATATGCATATAGGGAAAATCAATGGACCCCCGGGGCGGGGGGCCAATTTTGACCCCAGGGCTTTATATTTGAACAAACTTGTTAGACACTCATTAGAAGATGTTTCATGCCAAAATATCTAAGCTCTAGCTCTTATGGTTTTTTAAAAGAAGATATTTAAAGTTTTTTCTTTCGGTTCCCATGGCAACCAGAGTTTTGCATGGAATTAAATTCTTTGAACAATTTTTAAAGGTGACCACCAAAGAAACATTCCTGTGAAGTTTGGATGAAATTGGCTTAGTGGTTTATGAGGAGATGTCATTTAAAGTAAAAGTTTACGGACGGACGGACGCTGGACGAAAAGCGATCACAAAAGCTCACCCTGTCACTTTGTGACAGGTCAGCTAAAAAGTGCAACATCCCTCATGGCCCCCTAGCACTGGCTTGATTGGTACTCGATTCTCAACACTTAAAAGTGCTGGACTCAATGATCCTGATTGAAGTACCGTGCAACTTTTTACGGCTGTCACACAGCACTTGAAACAAGCAATATTTTCAAGCTGATTTATCAAAATATAAGGAAATCATCAGCAAAATCATGAAAATAATTTATTACCTTTTCCCCATCGTGTCTGTGATTGAAGAGCGTACTTATCACAGTCTTCACGCGAGATGCCATACTGCTCGGCTAAATTTTCTGCTGTAATTGCCATAGGCATCTTGGTATAGGAATCTGTCAAACCAGCCCATAAGATATCCTCCAACTAAAACAGATATTTTTACAAAAAAACACTATGAAAATTTATATTTAAGCTGTTTCTATTTGACCGTCACATACATAATTCTTTGTTACCATTCAGTGATTTCCCCCATATATTTTACAGCCAAAAAAGGCTGTTTCCACTAGCCCAAAATAAGTATACATGTATTTTCTCGTAAAAATGCTGTACTTTCCCCAGAAATGGCCGGTGCACATTCTTCACCAGAACCTTGACTTAACAGCAGCTGACTTATATTAGCTAGTTGATAAATCTAATAATTGATTTAAAGACAGGGTGCTATCCCTATACCTTTGCTATGTACCATGCATGTTAAATTGAACTGAAATCAAAAAAATTATAAATTGTTTGGGTAAAATCCATTCTCAGTTATTTGAATTTGATTTTTTCCCTTATCATGCTACTTTCCCCTTCAGAAAACCACACGTTATTTAGACAACCATTGCATTTTAAACGCATTAGTGGCCTTGTCTATTACTGCTGGCATAGGCAAATCATAACATTACAATAAAGGTATTCAAAGCTGCTTCCTAAATCAGTATTTGAAAACGTCACAGAATCAGAGGTTTTAAAGAAAAGAGAATCTTTTAGAAATATTTCTGACTTGAAACATGACATTTCTGATGTACAAGACTTTATTCAAAACTACTGATAATTTAGGAAAATTACATATTGAAATCAGAAAAGGTATTAATACATGCATGTGAACTCTCCCACTTTCTGCAGCCATATTTTCAAATATTTTTCTCACAAATTAAGGAAACTTGCTCTTTTTGATGTCAGAACTTCCTTCTTTGTTTATTGCTAATTCTAAAATCTCCCTCTTTTTGAAGAAAAATCTCCCACTTGATCATCGTAAAAAGTTCACATGTATGTTAATACAACCAAAAATCAACAACAACAACTATTATGCAATACCTGTAAGTCTTGGCCGAACCGGGTACCAAATCTTATATTGCGTACAGCATATGGTGCCTGGCTCATACTTTCAGTTCCACCAACTAAAGCTATATCACTTTCACCTAATATAATCTCCTGAAAACAGAAAAAAACACATGTATATATTTCAATGATCACTATTAAACTACTTGTGCATGCAGAGATTCTTCACTTTATATAACAGAGACTTATATACATGTAGGCCTCTTCCCAATGGAAATTTTCTTTAAATCATGCAGTTTTCCAAACATTGGAAATATGGAAAGCATTCATTTATAAGTTGTTTTCAACATGATTTTAATTTTCTATTCCTCAATAACATTTCAAAGATATGCTTCTACTTTTTAAGACAGAAAAATTCATAGACTTCATGAACAGCAGATTTTAATAGGCCAAGCCTTTACAACAAATCTTCCATACAATTTATTTTATTTGTTTGAGTTTTAAGTCACTGCACAGCTTTAAAGGTCATATAGAGACTAAGTCACTTTCTACTTTTGAATTAATGGTGGAAGCCACTACTTGCATTTTTTAAGTCACAAATACCTGATTAGCATCACCAACCTCCTCTAAGCTAGCTTGATAGTTTATTACCTGCCTTTTCATAGCTATTTTGGGGAAAAGTATTCTGCCTAGTTTATGAAATATCACCTCATAAACTTTAAGACTTTGAAAAAATAAGCATATTTGGGAATGGTTTGGGGAGACAGACCAATGGAGACACTGGGAAAAGGCCTGTTAACACACAGCTGTGTTAGGCAAGTTATCAAAGACAGCCTCCTCAACCACTCATCCACATAGGCCTCAAATTCAGCAATATAAAATGCACTTTGTTAAAGGTCCTTTATGCCTCAGAAATGTTTCATATTTATTTCTCAAAATTTTTTTATTTCTGGTGTACTTTAATAGTTTCCAAAAATTTATTCATTGACCAATTACCTGACGAGCGTTTCACAAACCGTCAGTGTTGCATATCTTTTTTAGTAAATTTTAACTTATGCAAAACATAAAATTTACTTAAGTTGCATTTCACTAAACAGAACATGCAATTTACGTCAGTAATAAGTGAGTGTAATTTTACTTTCAAACTTACGGAAAAGCGTAGCTAAGAAAGTTTAGTGAAACTCAAATAACTACTTAAGTTCTGCTTACACAAAATGTTACGATCAAACTCGAGTTACGATAACGTAAGTACCGGTATGTAAGTGAAACACACCCTTGAACTGTATTTTTCTCCTGTTGCTTTTTGGCAATAAGTGATTTAGTGCTTTGTATGGAAGTCAAAATACTACTTTGTTTACATTTTGCTACATTTGTCACAAGTTATTTCCCAGTGCTACTTTCTTCAGGTTACAAGTATCTATCATACTCTAAATACATTTTTTTTTCAGGTTACAGGCATCATGCATTAAAAACATTAAATGTTTTAAAACTCATGTTTCCCCTTTCTAAAGAAGTAAAAGTACATTTGTTTCAGAGACATCATGTGCCTTTAACAATTATAGTACCTGGGCACCACCGATAACAGCTTGAAATCCTGAACCAACATAGCCTGTTTACAACAAGAGCAGGGACTTCAATCCTCACGCCACATCGAAGCCCAGTATGTCTTGCCACCAACATGGCATCAGTGGATGTCTAACAAAAGAAAAATAATAGGGGGGAAAATAAAATGTTTGGAATTTGTTTTTACCTGAGTTCCATTGATAATTGCTTGAAATCCAGACCCACACAATCTGTTAACGCCAGGGCGGGTACTGCCATAGAACGGCCTGATTTCAGACCAACATGCCTGGCCATGTAAATGGCATCTTGAGATGTCTAGTAAAATACAAAATGAAATCTGTTGTGAAGATGTCACATATATATCTTACATCAGTAACTACAAAACCAAAAATAATTTATTTCTTTAAACTTTAAGCTTCTAAATAAGTGAAACAAACTGTCCAGCCTTGAAGTCCATTTTAAGTTAAAGGGGTTTCAATGTAAAAATAAAATGAAAGTTTGAACAAAATCTGTTGAGAAATGCAGGAAGAGTTCAGCACAGCAGAATTTGTTCAATTCTGTATAAGGAAAAAAAACAAAGGGCCATAATAAGGTCAAATATTATCCAATCACAAAACCCTGACAATATGCGCCAGGGCACTTGATGACAAGCTTCTGTGAAAGTTTGGTCAAAATCCGTTGAGAAATGTAGGAGAAGTTGCGCACTGTAGAAATTGTTCACTATATATTCTATATAATGAAAAAAAACAAAGGGCCATAATTAGGTCAAATATTATCCAATCACAACACCCCGACAATATGTGCCAGGCACTTGATAACAAAGCTTCTAAGAAAGTTTGGTCAAAATCCGTTGAGAAATGTAGGAGGAGTTGCGCACAGAAGAAATTGTTCACTATATATTCTATATAAGGAAAAAAAAACAAAGGGCCATAATTAGGTCAAATATTATCCAATCACAAAAACCCAGACAATATGCGCCAGGGCACTTGATGAGCAAGCTTCTCTGAAAGTTTGGTCAAAATCCGTTGAGAAATGTAGGAGGAGTTGCGCACAGAAGAAATTGTTCACTATATATTCTATATAATGAAAAAAAACAAAGGGCCATAATTAGGTCAAATATATACCAATTGCAAAACCCTGACAATATGTGTCAGGGCACTTGATGACAAAGCTTCTGAGAAAGTTTGGTCAAAATCCGTTGAGAAATGTAGGAGGAGTTGCGCACAGAAGAAATTGTTCACTATATATTCTATATAAGGAAAAAAAACAAAGGACCATAATTAGGTCAAATATTATCTAATCGCAAAACCCTGACAATATGCGCCAGGGCACTTGATGACAAAGCTTCTGTGAAAGTTTGGTCAAAATCTGTTGAGAAATGTAGGAGGAGTTGCGCACAGAAGAAATTGTTTACGCCCGCCCCGCCCATCCGCGCCCGCCCGCCGACATACCTCAATCTAATAACCAGTTTTTTCCTTCGGAAAACCTTTGGTTTAACTAGGAAAGGTGTCCACAGAACACGGAAGCCCCTCATTCCACTTTGACATACAAGAGTTTATATAAACTATAAAAAAAGAGCATAAATCTTGAAATAATATTTTCAGTCCTGGCATGTCATAAACTTCAGTACAGTCCCTGAACAAAAAGCATGACATGAAAAAAAGTGAATCCTTTAGCCAGGTTTTGTTTGATTTTCCTAGAATTTATTGACCTTTTCTAAATAAAAAGGCATATATAATTGTGAGAAAGTTTTAATAAATTACAAGATCAACAGTCAGATTTAATATTTTTAAACAATTTATAAGTTCATTTGCAACACATACCTAATTTCATTTGCTACACCCATCTAATTTCAATTGCCACACCCACCTAATTTCAATTGCCACACCCACCTGTATAACATTTCCAAACACCAGAGAACCAACAAGCTCCGGGTTCACTTTACTTTCTTTGAGGGCAGCCAGGGCAGCTATCTCCTGTAACTTATTTCCAGAATGATCTTTCAACTTCCCGCCAAATGTTCCAAATGCCGTCCTTTTAGCAGCAACAATAAACACCCCCGACACATCTGCAAAGCAAGATATATAGATTTAAAAAAAAACATTGGGTGCTTTGCAGAGTAGTACCTGTAAGGGTTGTGAGAATATGTCAATGAAAAAGACGAAGTATAAACATATTTGTTTTACCTAAATTCTTATTAGGGGTGTCACGGTCAACAAAAAAGCTAAACATTTAAATAGCAATTTAATAACCCTGTTCAACGTTTAAACGGTCATACTAATATTATCTAAAGATTTAAATCATTAACTTTGTTTTTTTTTATAATAAGATTTTGTTTATATTTTATTTTTCTTTACAAAACATATCTGATTATGGACAAACTGTCGTCCGTTAGGATCTTACTATACAGTACAGTTAAGCTAGATAGAAGGCAGTCGGAAAAAATACATTTGAAATACAAACAAAATGTCATATCTTGTCATTAAGAAACAAAAGTTATGTTAAAAACCAGTTTAAAATTTCTTTGTCTTTTGTTCTTCTACTAACCTCTATTTCTGGTTATTTAATTTTCATACCGGTTTTTGGTTAAATTAAAAAAACTGACCAAACCCGTTTTAACAGATAAATGTGACGCCCCTAATTCATATGAAATCTTGAAGATTATTTGAATCTCTTGCCAATCCATTCACTGAACCTAATTACAGGTCAATATCTATCTTGAATATAATTATAATGTTAGTGATGACAAAGATACTTATCTTTATTCTAAAGTAAATACTGTAAGTTACAAAGTTGGCAGTGCTGCAGATAAGGAACGTACATTTGACAGTTTGACGTTAATCCCAGGGAAAAATGAGGAAATAAGTAATATTGAATAAGAATATTAAGTCTTGAAAAAAGGGGGGCTGAAAACCAGGGTGAGACATTTTCAATGCTAGCTATATGGTTGCACTGTACTTCTCTGGGGTAGGGAGTAGGGCAACTGCAGACAGTAGGTGGTTCAAATGGCATACAATTCTAGGAAAGAAGTAGAATGACAATAGTAAGACAGCTGTCATTATTTGTGTACTTTATATAGTCAAAATATAAACCTTAAAATAACCAAGAGTGCTTAACAAGCAAGTGCAACACTACTCATTTTCTACTGGCTGTTTTAAATTCAAAAGTAATGCCAACGGCAACGTATATTTTTGAGCTGAGCCTGACTGAAATGGAACCAACAAGGGTGAAAAGCAGTGATAAATTCATTCAATTGGCGTTAAAGTTTGATATTTGATAAGAGTAAGCAACGTTTCTGATAGATTTTAATGTGTTTTATTGATTTAGTGTGCTCGGAGGTAAATTCCAGGCATTTTTACGAACATTCTTTGAAAATATAGTGGTGGGCAGGGAACTTTTTGTGCCTTCCTTGTGTTTTTTATAGTATATACATGCAATTTTTTTAAAATAGTTTTTTTTTTGTTTTGGATAGAATTTTGGGTCCCTGTGATTTGACACTTGACCAGGAGACACCCTAGTCCTAATTATAAGACCTATACGTAACCTATTTCATATTTATCATTCATTAATCTGATATTTTACATTTTTCATTTTCCATGTTACGTTAGGTCTTAACAGATCTTTGCAAAATCGTGTAGCAAAAAAAATTGACATTAGACATCGATTTAGATCTAATGCATTTTAACAATTAAAACAGCGTGTATTTACATAAATTTTGAACTATTTATGAACAAAACTAAAAATTAAATACCTTTCAACAAAATAATTGAACTGTCACACCCGAAAAGTCATGATTAAATCCTCTCATTTAATTAAATTCCATGTACAGCAGATATACAAATGGCCGCCATACAGTGCGCGAAATCTGATTGGCTAATTCAAATGCAAGCGTTTAAATGACTCCAGAAGTTTCTAACGGAATATTTTTTCAACGAAATAATTGCCCATGCACCGTCAGTGTGTTCGAAATATTTTTCCGTTAAAAAAATTGGAATCAATCTGTAAAACGCTTTACTTAACCAGTATGGCCGATGAGCAAAATAGATTGATATTTATATTTTATTTTTAATTAATAAGTACATTGTTTGAAACTTTTTGTTAATGATAGACCATGCAATTGAAAGAACAGAAGATAAGCTTTTGAATAAAGCTTGAAAGGCAAGTCAACAGACATTTTTTTAATTTTTCAAAATGCTACGCGTTTTTGAGCAATAACTATTAGACGTCAGGCTTGACCAACATAAAACTATAACAGGCTGGTGAAATTACCAGATCGGGCTTAAAATGAAAATTGCTCATTTCTTGGAAAGTATCAAAGTTATTTTTACCTTTTTAAAGCATATTATTTCCTACCTAATTTGTGATGTATAAGAACTAAAATTAAATGAATTTTAGTTATTACACAAGAATAGTTTGCCTTTGTTGGATTTTAAGCAGCTAAAATTTTCAAAGTCCAAGAACATGACTTTTTAAAATGAATTCCAATTGAATTTTGAGTTTTATATGATCAGATATATTCATTTGAATGCGCCATCATGTAAATTATGGCGGTTCTAATCTGTGTAAAATTTTTTTAGCAAAAACATGTAACCCCTGTGGGTGAGTGTGGTTAACAATTGTATGCAATTAAAAATACAGCATACAATACAGAAATCTAAGGTGCTGGCGCATTAGAAGAGACACCCAGGATGCAAAATAATCCAGATTTGAGGAAAAAGGCTAATGTAAAAGATGTGTTTATGGACTTAAAAAAATTGGACCATATAAAAATGAAAAAAAGTGATGTGAAATCCGTATTACTTGTAATAAAAAATGTAACGTTTGTTTAAGTCTATCTAATTATAATGCCTAAGATATATCACAAGTTTAAAAGCAATATCTTTGCCTGTTTTTGAGAAATTACATTTTTTCATTTTAAGCCCGATCTGGCAATTTCACCAGCCTGTATCCTGTTTTCTCGTATTCTCGGGGGGTTAAGGACTAAACTTGGTTGCATAATATTTATAAAACATTCTGTTACAGTATTTTTAGCCTGATACACAGAGAAATACCTTATTAACAAAATACAAAGAAAGAAAGATCGTAACTGTAAGCAAAACTAAAGATATTTCTGCTTGTATATACTGACCTTCACCCTCTATGTGAAGCAGGTGCTTTCTCGTATTCTCGTGGAATTTGATTGGTTGTTAAGGCTGGTCGCGATGTGATGATTTTATTCTACATACCAGTTCAAATCATTAGTGCCACACCTAATTAAGTGTTTAATGGCCTAAATCTGTAATTTTATTGTGTTTTAATAACAGCTTGGCAGGCCATATCAAACTTTAAGGATCATATTGACGCCTCTTTGGTACCAAATGATTTTGATTGTTCCAAAAATAGTTTGAACACCATTTAGTGTTGTTATTTACATTATCTCTCTAATATATATTAAGTTTACGTTTATTTATTAGTTACTTATTAGTTATATGAACATTAAACAATGAATACTACTGTTTTCCATTGCAGTTGTCAAAAATGAAATGTGTTTAGGACAAACAATGTTTCATTATTGGTTTTTAATTGGAGTTCATATCTTTTTTATACTATCTATTCGTGGAACAAATATTTTGAGCTGTATTGTATAAATAGTAGTGTGAGACCGTCATTTGAAGCGTCTTGCGTCAGAGACCCGCTACAGGTTTCTGCAACATGGAAAAAACTAGAAAATTTATGATTTTTGGGGGGGGGGGGGAAATTGATAAATTTAATGTTTATTCTCTGGATTTTACGCTTATTTCCACGGTTATTTTGGTTTTTTATCTGTTTTTGTCGCATTTCTTTTATTTTTTTAATGGAGATGAAAATGCTCTGCTAAATAGACATGTTTTCGGATATCGACGGAAGTCGCGAGCGTCGCTTCCATCCGTTTTAATGATTCCACGAGAATACGAGAAACCCCGAGAATACGAGAAACAGGGATATAACAAGCCTGTAACGTCTAATCTATTGGACTAGAGACACCCGAGCCAGAGGTCATATCAGGTCACTGAGTAAACACTTCTTTTTTAGAATAACCTACACATATTCCGTATGAAACGTTAAACAATTTTATGAATTATATTTTGCTCAAATGCAGACAATTTGAAAAAGCACACTAACACCAATGAATGGGTTCAATCTTGAACGTTATCAATTATGACCTATGTGCTACATAAGTTTTCGGTCAAAACAGCATTTAACAGTTCATGAATATAGTTATGGTGCATCTATTGATAGAGTATATTATATCAATAATGCAAAAGATTATATATAACTTTGTGTTAGTGGTTATATTTTGCAGAAACCATCCATAAAAAAGGAACAACCCCGGCAACTTACTTTTAGATAACGCCATTTTGTAAACTCTGAACGACTGCGTTTTTATGAAAATATTGTTGTCGTCTTCTCGAAGGTCAGACTAACGATTGAAAAAGGTGAAGTATTAAAAACATTTGTAGATCGTATGAAAAGATGTTTTTAAGTATGAAAACAAATTTAGAGCCTGATAGAAAAAAAACCCATTTTTCTTGAGTATACCGCATTTGTTTGTTAGTTTTCTTTATTTGTTTGGAGGGTCTTCCTCGCCAAAATCCATAACACAAGTAAGATCTCAGTGAGAATTCTGCATGGCATGGACATTTTTGACTGAAAATTCCTTATTTCTGTAAAACAAATGTATAGATTTTCGTTTAAAACACAATTTTCTAGAGCCAACCGTTAAAACAAAATTTGTCTGATTCTGTTAAGTGTGCCAGTTCTTCTTTCCAGCAATATAAAGTTTTTGATTTTAAGTTTTATGTAGAAATAATCCTGGAAATAAAAGTGCTAACGTTTTGACTTATAATGTGGATGTTAATAAGGAAATACAGTTGCACTAGACCTGAAATAGAAGTGTACACTGTGTGCACTTCTAGTGCACTAGACCAAATGACCGGACAGGGTGACATATTATCGGTTAAATGGATCATTGTATATTAATTGACCAGAGTTAAGTCATATACTGATTAACTATTGTAAGAATAGTTTTTTTAACTTTTGGGATATATTCATTCCTAATATAAAGATATTTTAGAATAATCAGTTTAGATATTGCTAAAAAATCAATATTGATCAGAGATTTGTAAATTATATGAATGTAATTGCACATAATATGGACAACCCTTTCTATGAAGCATGATAGAAAATTCAGTCAATTCTCAATTATGAAATGACTACATGTATTATATGACCAATATAAATATCTTCATAACAATATCTTTATTTTGATAACCATCATATTGATAACCAAAAGTTGTGCTTAATCATGCGCCATTCATAAACGGAAAAAAAACAACTTTTACATTTGTTTAAATGCTTTCTACAAATAATAAAGTAGAGGCATATAAATACAATGTATTTTAACGTCTCTAATTAAAGTAAAGGGCTATTGATTCTTCACCATGTTGTTGATAACCAGATTTAGGGAATTAAATTTAATTGAATTGTTTTTTTGTTGTTGTTGTTTTTTTGCTTAGACTTTATTATTTTATTTTATTTTTTTATATTTGATTTCTATATTTATTTAAATTATGAAAGAGTTAACGACGAACATTTTGGAACATACACTTAGAGCCACTTATAACCCGTCATTTATACATTTTTCGATGTTTTTTGTTTTTTTGTTGTTTTTTGTTTTTTTTGTTGTTTTTTTTTGGGGGGGGGGGAGGATTTTGTTCAACTTTGGACAATAATACACAATTTGATATATCATACTAACTACTTTGAATTTTATTTACAATTTATTGACAAGATAACAGAGAAAACAACAAAACTGCAAAATGAAAAATCACAGAGTTTCTGAATCCCACTAAACCTGTATGTTAACCAGTTCTTATACCTTAATTGTGTGCCCTCCCATGGCTATAAATACTTAAAAAGAAGAAGGAGAAGAAGAAATCTCGCCACTGATACACTTTTGGCGTGAGATCGTACTCTCAAAGGTCAGACACTCACATTGATATTTCCATAGACTTACATTATAAGAAATTGTCCCTAATCCTACCTTAACATTGAGTTTTCATGCTAAAGAGGTGATTTTTCTAGCAGAATGAAATGCCTGACACATAAAAAATGTTCCTGTTATAAAGGGGTAGCCAACCATTTTTTTTTTGCAAAATGACTTTAAAGAGGCCCCCCCCAATGAAATTTTCTGCTGATCACATGACTGACATACACTTTTTATAAATGCAAATATCCAAGTCAAAATTATAACAGAGACTCATGAAATATTTCATTTTCTTCAGAAAACAAGGTAGTGTGACTTTGTAAATTAGTTTTTATACTTAAAAATACCCCACTTTCATCCAATCACCTCATGTATAAATTGAGTCATACGGTTTTCCCTGCACTTTTTTCGGCCAATCGCTTGCCATGTTACAATGCGATACATTGACCTAAAACCACACTTTTTGCAGACGGCAAAATTTTGTCATCTATATTCGCGACTGCAAGCAATTAATAGTGTTGTTGAACGTGCTAGTTATTCAGGTCAATGTAACATTTCTTTATTATTATATCCCATATCTTGGCATCAATATTCATCATTACTCATCACTAGTCACCAATGTCATTACACATCTCATTGTCATTCCCAGCCATCTAATGTGTATATACATTATAATGAATGAGCGATTTACTTACGTACTGACGGGTCTTCTTCAAAGAAGCGGCAAATGAAAATTTGACATACATTTTTTTCCGATTTAATAAGAAGGGAGTAACTTATGTTAAAAACAGGGGAATGAAAATTGAATGGCACAATTACAGGAATTTTGCAGACAATACATTTGTGTCATATATGTTCGCGAGTTTATACAGCGAGATTGTGAGGGCAAGAAGTGAATGATTCTGTTGTTTCTTCAAAATATATTTATAATAACAACAACAAAAAAGAATAATAAGCGGGCCCTAAATTCATCATCAGCATCATCATCAATCATCAGCATAATTCTCATTTTCGATCTATTATACCCAGTGTAAGATTCCCTAAATTGACTACATAGATTTGATTCAAGGTTTTATTTAGGCACATTAGTCTATTGCCATAAACAATAATAGCATACATATAAACATATTAACAAATACATAAAACATCTAAATACGAGAAAAGTTATATTACATATATAATATCACAGTCTTGAAATAAATATTAAGACTATAAGAATTAATGTTATTATGTTTAAAACTACAGGATTATTGTGTATGTTGTGATGCTGGAATGATAGATATAACGTTTTTGTTGAAACTGATTTAATTTGACAACATTGTCAAAATTTATGCATTAACAATTTACAACTTAATAGATTTTAATCTAATAGAGTGAATATGTGAGCATTAAGACAATCCTAGTTTACGACACTAGTTTAACATATTGGGGTGTATGTAAACTACGTGTATGTGTTGTTTAAATATTAATTATAATGTAAACATTTATTATAAAATTACCTTGTATTTTATTTTCAAAGAATGCATCATGTACCTAATAAATATGTTTTATAAGACAATCCCTGTGAAGATACTAGTTTAACATATTGGGATGTATGTTAACTATGTAGTGTTTGAATGTTAATTTTAACTTGTAAATTGAATTAAAAATTACTTAAAGTTAACTATGAATTGCTTAAATGTTAATTATATATTTATATATTGAATTGAATTTATCAATTTAACAAATCAAAATGTTTTTGTAGCTTAACACACAAGAGTGATCATTAACTATGTATTAATAACTTTATTTTGAACTTTATGTTTACCTATGAACAGTTTATAAATAAATAAAATGTTAATAAAATATACATTCATAAGATGAGATGATTTTGTTTTGTTTTGGGTTTTACGTCACATCGACGCAGTATAGGTCATATCGCGACGTTCCAGCTTTACTGTTAGAGGAAGACCTCAGGTGCTCTTCCGTGCATTATTTCAGGCACGAACGGGCACCTGAGTAGAACCACCGACGTTCCGTAAAAGATGAGATGAGATAATATGAGATAAGATATGTTTATAGTGACACTAATTTTAACATTTTTGCTTTATTTTATTTCGTTTTTTTTTAAATATAACTTTACATGTTAACATAAGATTATAACAAATTTTACTTAACGTGTACACAGCTATAAATATGATGCATGCAATAAAAAAAATATTGAATGCATTTTGAAATAAAATATTACAAAATACCTGGAAAGAAAGTAGCTGAAAATATTGTTTATTACCCTATGATCGAATGGCACATGCACGCAAGAAATTAATGCTAACGTTTAAAATCAGGCTTTAAGTAAAATGTTTTGTACTAGAACACTTATATGTGTGTGGGTACACTATTCATGTTTTAAATATCAGGTACCACTATTTATGTCTTATATATCAGATACATTCTGTTACAAATCTTTAACGAATGACCATATTATATTATGAAAACAAAACATTTTTACCGTTATAAATTTGAAAAAAAAGAAGTAATTATAATAATACTAATAATAAATATTTATCAATTTCTCTTATTTGTGTTTAACATGAAATACAAGAAATCAATAATAATGATAAATAAAATAATAGGGAAAACATTAATGAGCATGTGTAAGTGATTTTACACTATAAAAATGATAATTAAGATAAGCATGCCTATTAATAACTTCAACAGCAACAACAAAGTTAATAGTGATAATAAGAGTATTTTTGTCAAACTTCTGTACATCACTTTTATATGTAGAAATTATAGATGATTCAAAATTATCGTATATTTTTGTTTGTAAATTGTAAATGTAATCTTTATGTCATAATTCAAATTGTCGATCTTTCGTTTCCGTTGCTTTTAACGGTCTGTCGTTTCTCCTTTGGTTGGACAGTTTGGTGGTTTTTGTTGTCCAACTTTGTGTCATCTATTATAACATTTGCTTCAATTGTTTTCTTTAATTATGAAAGCGTCGTTGAAGTTTTTGGTTAAATTTTTGATACATGTATTATCATAAGCTATCTTAGACAATAAAGACGTCTGGATCTGCCAGACATAATCAATCAAAGTTTTGTGTTTGTATTAACTTTACTGATTATGACACAAATTAACGAGGAGGAACATGTACCGTGGTTATAGTGAACACATTGGACTTTACCTGTACAAGTTTCCTTTTGTTTTTGTTTTACTTTATATTCTTGCATATTATCATTTTGTTCTCAAAATGCATCAACTTAACTTTTATGTTTATCAGCCTACTAACTTGAATTAAAGGGTTTGTAAACTATTTTTCAAGGATGTAGCCCTACATCAAGTGGTACTAGACACAAGATAAAAGGGCACAGGTTTCCAGACTATGGGTTTCCTGGGCGAGTCGACCACGATTTGAAAAATATTTTATGATTTTATGAAACCGTATTTGAAGTTTTTGGTTAATCTTTTGATAATATCATAATCTATTCTTAGACAATAAAGACGTCTAGCTCTGCCAGACATTATCAATCAAAGTTTTGTGTTTGTATTAACTCTACTGATTATGACACAAAATAACAAGGAGGAACATGTACCGTGGTAATAGTGAAACATAAAAAGAGCTTCGCACAGACGCGCCTTCCTTAGAACACGTGACATATCAAAAATTGAAATGTATTTATCCCGACAGAGTAAGAATTAAGTAAGGAAAACGTTTAACATAGTGTCATAGATTTCTTAAAAAAAAACACTTGGAGACAACAATTTAGTGATTCCGTTTCAGATTAGAAATGATATCAGTCTGGAGGTTCTTCTTAACAGAAATATAAAGCCCAAAGCTCTAGGTCTACAAGAAAACGTTACATAGATCAATAGATGATTTTAGAACTGAAATGTCTGCGAAAGATTATCAAGAATACACTCAGAAATAGATGAAGATCGTGTATTTCCGATTTGAGTGAAAAGCCATGCCACGCTTTCAATTTTGGGTCTTTTTTCACAATAAGTAAACTTATTCTGGAAATACAGAGTGAGCGAATGATATGAGCATTTGCACACAAGTTATTATTTCAGACCTAGCCAAATGGTACACAAACTTATAAAAATATATTTACCATTGCCGTCATTTCAAAAATAAAACATAGGAGTTCCTTTAATTTCAATATTCATTTGCGAATGCAAAGTAAAAAGTTTAAAATCTCTGATTGGCCTGTTTCGCTAAAGGTCGAAAAAGAATTAATTTAAATTTTGCTATTCTTTTGCTATAAATCTGTCGTGGTTGTCTTGCGTTCGTTCTAAATCTGCTCTCTCTACCACCCTATCGCAAAAACTGCCCTATCTGACATGCTTCCGCTTTTAATTTGCAGTGCCTGCAATGATTTTGCTGTATATCTGCTTTGTCTGCAAACTTTCGCTAATAATCTGCCGTTTTCCTATGATTTCGCTATAAACCTACCGTATTTTCCATCTTGTTGCAACTTATCCGTCATGTGTCCCATGATTTCGCTATATATAATAAATGCTTTTGCTAAAAATGAATCGTGCCTATCATGCTTTTGCTTTAAGTATGCCGTGTCTGCTATGCTTTTGCTATTAACTGCATTATTTTGGCAAATTTGAGATCTCCATCGGATAAAGTAATCAAAAGAGATCAACATGGGCTATATTATCTTCTGATATATGCGAACCTCAGGTTTTCCTCCTTAACAAATTGAGGTAGCCTACCGAACGATTAGACACGGTGAAAGATCACATATCACATATAAAGTGGGATAGATAGCGTCAAAATACAGCAAGTTATACAAGCATTTACATTCTTTTTAGACATTCGTTGTGGATGGTATCTCATTGAATCTTTAAAATCCTGAAGTCATGGAACTAATATACGGCGGTAAGATTACTATATTGTCTTAAACAATGCATTTGATTTCTAGTTACAGAGATATTGTTCATTAGAAACTTCATCAAAAGTTAAAGTCAATAATTTTGTAAGTTATAGCCATATATGTTTTCTTGTTATATTAGAACAACATGATCGGGTGGTCAGTTTCAACAGCCTTTCTTTCCACACACTTCAATTTCCTATGACGGCATGATGGTTTTGATGTTGTCAAGATAGAATAAATTAACCGTTTATGTACAGGTGGTAACAATATAACACACGAGTGCATGTATATCGCAATATTGGCTGTACAGTATGCAGCCTTCCAAAAATTGCCATTTCAGAAATAGACCATGGTCGATACGCCGGATTTTTTTGCAAAATCTTAGGGATCGCAGATTGCGATGCATATTTCCGATCCTGTGATGGCTTTTATGAATGTTACTATTACATCTAGATATCTTTTCGTATTATCCGAGTGTATGGCCTCAAAGAATATACATGTACTCGTATTATCAATTTCTCGGGTTTGTTAGTTTTAAAACAGTTTAATAAAAATGAAATTATTATAAACAGGTTCGAATCATGTGCTCTGCGATGTTATTTTGATGTTGTTGTTGGTTTTCTTTCTCTTTTTTTTTTTGCTTTGTCTTTCTTTTGATTGATCATTTTAATATATACTTAAGGACAATGAAAACGCACGGTCGGAATATTTGCGTTTAAACAAGGAAAATATATTTCCTGTTAGTATTTTTTAACAGTTCCATAAAACCGAATGCATTCCGGTCATTTAGATACCAAAGTTATGAAAAATGATTGCATTTTAATGAAGTTATTGCATGATAAAAACAGTACCCGAAAAATCAAAAGTAACACTTTTGGCTAATTGTGATAAGATCACAACAGAAAACAGATTTAATCAATTCATGGTTACTTTATGAATTGAAATTATTTATTTTTTTAAACTGTTAATTATTAACTTGTTGTTTTTGCACACCTTTCTATAAATGTTAGACACAAATGAGCAATTCAATTTTTTATGAAAATGAATATTAAACTATGCATGCCAATGGTCAGTTTTAGAAATCGTAAAGCTCACATTGAAATTGCATATACACACTTTTCTCTATAAAAGGTGTTTTATTCCAAACACTATTGAATACTTTTATCAAATTGTACAAATAATTAACCGCTGGGTAGATTTAGGAGAGATTCAGTCTGGTCTATCTTACAATCAAATTTTGTATTATCAAAGCGCCAACCGTTTTGGTGTCCGTCGGTCTACAATTTCTCGACTTCACCAGCGTTTTCGCACTACACTACAGGCTGAATGGCGTCAGATTCCACAGGCGACTATCCGCACCGTAAGGTCTATGAGGCGACGATGTACATCTGTTTAAAAGCCTAAAAACATAAAAAATTAATTTTTCACATAGATTAGCATGAGCACTTTAAACAGAAATATAAATAAATTATGATTAAGAAATACATTAAAAATCATATGTTTGTGCTATTTTCAGTTCGATTGACTGAAAAGCGTTTAAACGCTTTTCAATTTCGGGTCATTTTTCACTATTTAAATAATTATTCTGGAAAAACAGAGCGAGCTAATGATCTGAAATTTTCTACATAGGTTATTAGTATAGGTCTACATCAGATGGAGTAATAATCCCAAAAAATTATTTCCAGTCCCGTCATGTCAAAAAACCTCAGTGGAGTCCCTTTAAGAGACGCTGATGGAGGATATTGTCGTTTCTAAAGACCCCGACGGTGGCATTACGAATAGACATTTATGAGTGACTTTGTTTTGGATTTTCATGTTTTGCCTTTTTTAAGTTTGCATTACTGTGATGAAAAAGTGTGATTTTGGGATTTTCACCTAAGGTTCTTCGATTTACTGGTGTACATTTGATTTTAAACATTTTGAATTATTTTCGTTGTTAAGTTTGCGTTTTGCATAAAAGTTATGATATATATCTAATGGAGTCATAAATGTTTTGTTTTCATGTAACAAAATGCATATAATGCGGGCGTGCGTTTTCATTGTCCTTAAGTATAATTTATTCTTCTAAATTTCTATACATTTTCTTTCTTTTTATTAAATTTTTATTTCCCTCTTTATAAAGAAAAACTCCTACATGTTAAGTGCTTAAATAACTTATTTAACATTCATAAAATCAAATTATTTTAAACAAACTTCGATAACAAAATATCAATAATTTGAACAATATATTACACATCTTATTTTCATTTTTTTTACAATTCTAATAAGGTCAGTTTAGAATTGCTTACATTTTCCCCCAACTTTACATAAATGCATATCAAAGCGTGTACTCATGCATAAACTAAACCCGATACAAGATACCTAAAGCTCTCAAATGTCACAATACCTAACCATAAAACGAACATGTCAATGCATCAATACAGCATTGACACGCACGCTCTGCCTACTGCTGCGCTATCAAGACACATTTGAATTGATGAAACAAGTTAAATGGTGATGCTGCACATCAAAGACGCCGCCAAATGATGTGAACAGTCAATCAGCATTGAAAATCGTTCTCTATTACTATTGCATATCCGAAGTACAAATCAATTTTTTCTCCATGTTCTTGGTATGTGCTCATTGTTTAATAATAAAGTTGCATATTTTGTCTAATGCATAAATTCACAAAGTAATGCCAGGTCTGAAATTCTTTAATATTTGTCTGTTACGACAAAGACTGGAACGTACTCTGGTCGAATCAAAATAAATTTGACAAATAAAATTGAAATGATTGGTATACTTATAATAAATTCAAGACAATATGTGTCGAGAATATAGTCTGGAGTTCCTTCCCCTTTCGATCTAATACGTGTTAGATGCCGGGAACCAGAATACCGAGAATATACCCATTTAAATATTGGTACGAATTGCATAATGTTCGAATAATTTTGAGGACAAACTGTTCTGTAGCAGGCTGTAGCGTAACCGGTTTGTTGTACTTTCTTAACGGTAGAGGAAGAACCGCCTCTCTGATAGTGGGCGTGGTTAAGGCTTGGTAACTTGTAATTTAATAATTCGAAAAATGATATTGATCAAAGTTGTCCTGGTTCCCTTCTACTGTCAACGAAGACTAAATGCTAGCATATGGAGCATAATATCAAATTTAATATGACAATTTAAGGCGGAGCCGAACTTCAACAGAGGCGAAGCAAATGAAGTGAGTGACACTGTTTCAGTCGTTACCTCTCTCAACGGTTAACTTTTAGAACGATCGACTTTAGACTGTCTCATTGGCACGTTATTCATTTAAATATTGATAAAAATGATATGATATTCAAACATGGCACTATCACTACAGTTAATGTTTATTCTAAAGCTCTGTGACATGTTGTACATCATAAAAGCTATATTTATTAGAAAATTTTGAAAACAGTGTTATTTTGTAAAAACAAAAAAAAAAAAAAATACACAAAATCAAGCCTAGAATTTTCCCCCCATTGCTGTATGGACAAATGCATAAGCGGCGTCTAATAAATTATACGTGCGCGTGCGTGCGTGTGCGCGCGTGCGTGCGTGCTTGTGTGCGTGAGGTGTGTGGGTGTGTGTGTGCGTGTGTGCGTATGTGCGTGTGTGTGTGTGTGTGTGTGTGTGTGTGTGTGTGATGGTGCGTGTGTGTGCGTGTGTGTGTGCGTGTGTGCGTGTGTGTGTGAAAAATTTCACAATAATACACAATTTACATTAATGTAAATGTAAATACACAAAAGGCTTAGGCCGAAAGTTATAACAACATTATCGAAGGCCCTCCCCTGAAATGCTGACTGTAATCTTATTCAAAAGTAGATGTGAAAAATCGTATGCAAAGTATGGCTTATTATACAGGTATTTAAATAAGAGAATAAAAATATTGATTATAGACGATAAAATCAGTCAACTAAATTAATAATTTTGATAATGTTTAAAAAACTGCACTGCAAGCTCGCAACAGCAGTGCACCAGTGTTTATTATGTATTTTGACAGTTGACGATAGTAAAGATTCGTAAAGAATCATAAAAAAAAAGAATCATAAAAAAAGAAAATCAAAATGTTGTCGCTTGTTTATTAAAATGATGAACATGATGATAAAGTGAAACCATTTTTTGATTAAAAGTATTACACGGAAAAAAACCTTTTGTGTAAAGAGAGGTTAGAATTCTTTTTAATAAATTAGTTTTTCACAAGATCTAAACAAGCCATATCCGTTGATGACTGTAATAAAAAAAATTGCCATTGAAATAAAAATGTTCAATGTATTCTATTAAAGCACCGCATTCAAAAGCTGAGTTTTGTTATACATATCGGAATTCAAACTACCACAATTATCCTTAAGAGGTGTGTGGTCATAACTGTAGTTTTTTATACATTTCTTTCAGTTTTCTTTTAAATTTTTTTTTTGTTAAAAGTGTCTTATTCTCTAATATATATATTATTATTATATATTATATATATATCGTTAAACACATAGATTTTTACCTGAACTTCAACTTAAAGTTGTCCAAAATTCCTTCTTTTTACTGTAACTATTAATCGTAATATTTCCAGGTCAACAATTACGTAAAGAACGAAGCTGCGCAAAATGCCATAAAGTGGAGCCGGTTGAAACTTTCAATAATCTGGAACCCGGTGATCATATTTCAATGAAAGGTGATATGTTTTCCAAAACAAAATCTCGAAATGTAACAAGATATCTTTATACCCATCATGCTATCGTTGATGAAGTACGACATACGACTGATGACGGAAAAGGGGCCATCGTTCAGGTTTACCATGTCATGCCTCCTGCGCCTGAAGGTGACAGTAACCAAGGCAGTAAGTGTGTGCGGAAAGAAACGAAAGCTCTTGATGTTAATACTAACGATATACAAAAAATTTCATATAATGAACCTTTTTACGAAAAAAATGAAATTAGAGACAGGGCTGAAAAATTCTACTCCAATGGAGAAATTAATGATTACAAGGTAATTTCCAACAACTGCGAACATTTCTGTCATAATTGCAGTACAGGTGATAAGAGTAGTAACCAGGCTTTACGTTTATCAGATGGTTGTAGATATGTCATTGAGAGTGTGTTTTTAAGTGGTCCTAAGTTTTTAAGGATTTTGTTGAAGATTCTGATTTTGAGCACAGATGATTTTATGAGAAATGTTTACATAGCCGGGGGTGTACTTGGTTTTCTTCTGTTTGTTTATTTCCTTTTGGTAATAATGCTGAATACCCAATGTGCATTTTTCTTTTGTTATTCAACAAAAGAATGTTGTTGCTGTGTACACTCTTCTAATTGTTGTACAAATTACCCTCTTTGTATTTGCCTTAAATGTTCCTGTTGTCATGAATACTCATCACTGAATTGCAGTGGTTGTTGTCGTGTCAGTTGTTGTCAACTAAAAAAAGACGAAAAATGGTATTGCAAAATGTGTCATGACAAAAAGAAATGTCTGAGGTGTTATCAATTTCTAGTGACTTTAGTTTGTCAAGTGGTAGGCTACGCATTAATGGTCTGTATGATAAATAAAAATATATCGAATAGCATAATCATTGGTTCTGGCGTTGGCATCAGCATTTTGAACATAATTTTGTACATTTCACTTCCACCATGTTTGTTTCGAATATGTTGTTGTAAAAAGTGTCTCTGTTAGGGATTTTATAGGATTCTTATGTTCAAGAAATGTATTCTTATTCAACATTGTTTCACTTTGTCAAAGATTGTTTGCAAATTATTACAAATTCTTTAAACGAACAAATTAAGGATCTTTACAAAGTGTTTTTTTCTTCTTCATAATATTCATAACCAAGACGAATGATCTTTAAAAAAATATTACAAAAATACATTGTTATTCTTTAAATGATTAGCAGCAAATCTAAAGCATTAAATAGTCGTACAAGCATGGACTATGTTAAGTAAAAGTCGGAAAATCTGCACTAAATTATATTCTTTAATGTCGTCTTCTTCACTTAAATGTGAAACCTTTGTTGTGTTATTATTATCATTATTATTATTATTGTTATTATCATGTTAATATTGTTGTTGTTTCAAAGACATGTAATCTTTGATAATTTCAATGTGGTTATATACATGTATACTGTGTACTGTGTATACTAAACTAAAATTGTACTCGGGTGGAAAATTGGAACATTTGTGATAACAGGATTAGTCGACTTTGTTTTATCTAAAATGACACTTGTGTAATCTACTTGATAGAAGCTTTGGACTTTGTCATACATTATAAAATGTTGAATTTTAATACATGTTATCAATTTAGATATCCAGGTAGAATACTGATGGTTCTACTCAGGTACCCATTCTGGTGGAAATCATGGTCATACTCCATCACAAAAGCTTAAAAGTTGCCTACCTTTACAGTGTTGGTGCAACATGAAGCTCAATCAAACAAATTTAATTCAAATGTTGCTGCTGACGTGTAACAACTTTATTTAGAAAATATGTATATGCTAGATGTAAATATACGCCCCATTCCCCATCTTAGTTTTGTTGTATTTTATAGTCTGTCGCTCGCATCGAATCAAGTACTTTTTGTATAGAAAAATGTTAATTAAACCGACGTTAGGGGTCACAGGAGATGTTTTGTAGTATTTCATGAATTAATCAAGTCAAACTGGCTCAGAAATTTTCGTATATATCCGTATATTTCTAATCGTTTTTCGATCTAAATTACTGCCTTTGTCTTTGCATATAGTTTCAAAAATGCAAGTAGAATTTTTTACATGGATGCGCTTAAATTGAATGCTCATATGCACCTTTTAATGGAAACATATTTACTCAGATTCATTTAAGTTCAATTTATATTTTCTGTGAGCGAGTTTGTATAAATTGTCGAGCGGTCTCTGTCTTTAATTATATCAACTTTATAAGCAAAATGCAAGAACAGGCTCAATCAAACCGAGCCTGTAACATTTTCAATTTTGCCGTGTTGGGCTTTCTTTAGGGATTCTGTATGTATCTATTTTTTGTTAATAAAATTATGTTTTCTTTTGATATGATATCATTATTGAAAAATACGATAAATTGTATTGACAGGAATATAACAGTTTTTGTATTTTCTGATCGCAGATCAGAAAATTCAATGCTGACATTTAATCTCAGAAACAGAATTTTCACGACAAACCTAACAACAAGTAGTTCTCAAAACAGCTTAAAACTAGCCATGTTAAAGAAAGAAATATTTTTATTTTGTTACAAGAATCAAACAAATTACAACGCATTCAAAGTTTAAAAGTAGCGTTGGCTTATAGAATTGTCAAATCACCAATTACGCGGATGAATATGAAAATGCTATTTTTAGCGATGTCGATTACCGAATACCTCAGAGCGTATTACACTGTCGAGTAGTGGAATATATACATGTCGGACTGTTTTGGTCAATTTTAGACAACAGGTATATCGTGAAGAAAATACCTCGAAATTAATAAGGATTACCATGGAGCTAAATATAAGATTTATATATCTGTGGGAATGGATATTCCAAAATTATTTGATTTTATTCAGGCTGTTTTCGTTAAACATTTTCGTGGTTCAAGGGTAACGCACTCGGTTAGGGTGTGAGAGGTCTGGGGTTCAAATCCCAGTCGAGGCAACTTTTTTTTATTAAGGAAGTAGCCACGATATGCAAGGATAAAAGGATAAAGTGTGGCTGTCAAAAACAATGAACATAAATGAATTTTGATGCAACTCTAGTCATGCATAGTTCCGTATGTATCAAACTCAAACTGTTAA